TAATCTTTTGAATTGAATGGACTTCATAATTTATGTATAATCCATTGTTTTGTTCTCACTTATTTTTCATTTCACTGAGAACTAGCAAAAACTTTATCTTGGAGTGGCATCAGGCTACTGAGACTTGCTTTCAGCATGCCAAGCAAGCATTCTTTTTTAAAATATATTTTTATTGATTTTTTACAGAGAGGAAGGGAGAGAGATAGAGAGCTAGAAACGTCGATGAGAGAGAAACACCAACCAGCTGCCTCTTGCACACTCCCCACAGGGGATGTGCCCGCAACCAACGCACATGCCCCTGATCAGAATCGAACCTGGGACCTTTCAGTCCGCAGACCGACACTCTACCACTGAGTCAAACCGGTTTCGGCAAGCAAGCATTCTTTTAAGACAACTTAGCACACAGGCACCTTTCAAGAAAGTTCTTAAGAAATAGAACATATTAATGAACTCCTAAATAGAAGGTAGACAAAGAAGATTATAATTGGGGATAGTTAAGAGACACAGGGCGAGTCTTTTCCTTGCTCAAATTTCAAGTGTGTGTAGGATGAATTTGCTGAGACCCATGAATACCTTTGGGGACTCCTATGGAAGAGATCCTGAAACTTAAGAGACAGGAACAGCTGGAAAACCTTTTTCACAAGATCCATTAGCATGTCAAGCTGTAGTGAAAATTTGGTAGAAATCTCAATTGTGCAAGTCCTATTTCCCCAAACTAAATACTGTTCAGTGAAATGTTTTTTCCTTTTTTTTAAAAGGTATTTTATTGATTTTTTACAGAGAGGAAGGGAGAGGGATAGAGAGCTAGAAACATCGATGAGAGAGAAATATCGACCAGCTGCCTCCTGCACACCCCCTACTGGGGATGTGGCCGCAACTAATGTACATACATGCCTTTGACGGGAATCGAACCTGGGACCTTTCAGTCTGCAGACCAACACTCTATCTACTGAGCCAAACCGGTTTCAGCTGAAATGCTTTTATTCTTTGTATATTTTTATTTATATACTAGAGGCCCACTGCATGAATTTGTGCACAAGTGGGGTCCAGCCAGCCCGGTCTCAATAGGAGTGATCCCCTGAATGGGATGGGGAGCCTATTGGAGATCAGCAGCTGAGGGAGGAGCGATGGGAGGTTGGTGGGCCAGCCCCACCCCCAATTGATGGGGGGGCCAATCTGGGGTGGGGCCGGGCAGGAGGGGCTGCAAGAGGTTGGCCAGCTGGCTCCACCCCCTACTGGAATGGGGGCGGGGGGGGGGCAATCAGAGGTGGGGCCAGTCAGGGGGAGGGGTTGCAGTCCAACGCGGCCAATCAGTGGTAGGGCTCACAGGAGTTGGCCTGCCAGCCCCGCCCCTATTGGTGTGAGGGGCAATCAGGAGCAGGGCCAGGGGAAGTTGGCCAGCAAGTCCCAAACCCTCATCACAGTGGGCATCACACAGCAACCAGTCATGGAGTTCCAGTCACTGGCTTTTTATATATAGACTTTTTGTTAACCCTCATGTGAGGATCTTTTTCTCTATTGATTTTTTTTGAGTCAAAGAGGAAGAGAGGGAGGGTGGAAGGGAGACACATCAATTTGTTGCCTCCAACACACACCCGTTAAGAGTTCCGGGATCAGAGGAAACCGGTTTGGCTCAGTGGATAAAGCGACGGCCTGCAGCCTGAAAGGTCCCGGGTTTGATCCCGGTTAAGGGCATGTACCTTGGTTGCAGGCACATCCCTGGTAGGAGGTGTGTGGCTGATTGATGTTTTTCTCTCATTGGTTTCTAACTTTCTATCCCTCTCTTCCTCTCTGTAAAAAATCAATAAAAATATATATTAAAAAAAAAAAAGTTCCGGGATCAAACCTGCCACCCAGATACATGCCCTTGCCAAGAAATTGAAGCCAAGAACCTTCAGTGTGTGTGTATGTTTTAAAATATATATTTGCTTTTAGAGAGGGAGAGGGATAGAAACATCAATCTGCTGCCTTTTTCCCATTTGCCTCACACCAGGGATCAAGCCCAAAACCCAGGCACATGCCTTGAACCGTGGCCTCCTGGTTGATGGATCAATGCTCAACCACTAATTATTGATTTTGGAAACACCAATCTGTTGTTCCATTCATGTATTCATTGATTCTTGTATCTGACCAGGGATCAAACTGAAAACCTTCGTATATGGGAGCAATACTATAACTGAGTTGTCCAGCCAGAGCCTATTCAAGTTTATTAATCAAGGCTTTTATTAGTGTTAGGAAAAAGGAAAAAATGTTTAAACATAAACTTTAAAAATACACACATTTTGTGCAGGAGGCAGCTGATCGGTGTTTCTCTCTGATTGAAGTTTCTTGCTCTCTATCCTTCTCTCTTCCTCTCTGTAAAATAAATAAATAAATAAATAAATAAACAAATAAATAAATAAAAACAAATACACACATTTTTATTGATTTTAAAGAGTAAGGGAAAGGGAGAGATAGAAACAATGAGAATCATTGGCTGCCTCCTGCACACCCCCTATTGGGGATCAAGCCTGCAATCCAGGCCCCTAGGTATGTGGCGTTGACTGGAATCAAACCTGGGACCTTTCAGTTCGCAGTCCGACACTCTATCCGCAGAGCCAAATCAATTAGGGCTAAACATGAACTTTTAGAGGAAGAAACATTGATGTGATAGGGTAACATCAATCCATTGCCTTCTGTACATAGCCTGACTGGGAATGGAACTTGTGACCTTTCAGTGTAAGCAACAATGTCAGCCACACCAATCTTTAAAAATTCACTTTACTATTAAAAAGTCTCTTTTTCCAATTATTACATATTCAGCAAAATGCCCGCTTAATAAAAGCACTAGTTTGGACATTCTTAAGGGGTTAGAAACCCAATATAATCTCATGGACTTTTTGAGCTATGTATTCCAATCATTGGTTTCCCAACAGGAACTAAGCCTTCAGCAAGTTAACCCATGTAATGACTGATGGAACTGGAGAGGTCACCTTCCTTAAACCTAAGGTAGGCTTTTAAAGTTTTTCCCTAGCTGGTTTGGCTTAGAGGATAGAGCAACGGCCTGCAGACCAAAGGGTCCCAGGTTTGATTCCAGTCAGGGGCATATGTCCCTGGTTTGAGGGCTGGATCCCCAGTAGGGGGCATGGAGGCGGCAGGCAGGCAACCAATGATTCTCGTCAAGATTTCCCTCCCTCTCTGAAATCAATAATTATTTTAAATGTTTTGACTTTAGAGATATAAACATTAATGAAACATTGATCAGCTTCCTCCTGCAAACTGGGTATGTGCTCTTACAGGAAACTGAACTGGGTTCCTATTGAAGCTCAACCACTGAATCACAGCCAGGCAGGGAATTTTTTTTTTTTTTTTCTCCACTTATTTTCTCACTTAACACACTTGTGGACGTAGGAGGCTGTAAAGCAGCAGCGAGGGAGGAGGGTGGGATGCAAGCACCTGCAGGCAGGACAGGACACCAGGGGAAGGCAGCGCTGGGGGTGGCTGTAGAGGGCAGCCTCCCCACCCGCCTGCCTTCCCATGCACATCAGCGACCCCCAGGTGATTCTGTAAATGTAAAGGGCATTCCTGGTGTCTTCGTGGACCCCCTAAGGATGAGGCAGGTCTGCTCAGGCCAGCCCGCTGCACAGCCTGGCCCAGAGGCCCATGCCTGGGGACCCCATTCCTAACCTCAGTTGGTGGGCAAGCACCTGAGAAGCCTAGAGCTACAAGACAGCAGGGAAAGGGGAGAATCCCAGAGCGCTTTCCAGGGGATCACTTCCTTGGACAGCTTCAGCCACAGGCTTCCATTCAAGAGGGTACTGCTCCTCCGGTGTGGCTAAGTGGTTGAGCATTGCCCAATAACCAGGCCAGTTCCATTACTGGTCAGGGTGCATGCCCAGTAGGGGGTGCGCAAGAGGCAGATGATCTGATTCTCTCATCATTGAAGTTTCTATCAGGAAAGTTTTAAAAGCTTTTTTCATTACCACCCCCAAGGGTTTGATATATAAGCAGTTGGCCCTCTTTCTGGCTCAAGTATTCGAAGTATTCATACACTAAATTGGTCTAAAATTAAGTGCTATCTCCAAGTTTCTAACTTAAGTACTCCCAAATTTTTATGCTCAAATATTTGACAATTGCTAAGGCAGAATATGTCCCAAGTCATTTTGAGGTAAACCTGGACTATCAAGGGTTAGTTCTAGGCCTGATACTTGGTTTTCTATATTTTAACAATGCACCTCTGGACACCTCCCCATCACCTCAACAAACACCATTCAATTTTGTTCCAAGTTGAAAAACCACCATACTACAGGGAACTGTTTGTAAAGGAAAACGAGGTTGAGAACTTGTAGAAAACTCCCTTTACTCTGTAAAAAACTCCCTTTACTCTGTAAAAAAAAAAAAAAAAGTAAAAATATATTTTTAAAAATTCTCTTATCAGCAATATACTCCTGCCTAGTGTTACTGGTATGGCAACATAAAAACTGCTTGTGTTAGCTTTAGGTAAAACTTTTATCAAGTCCCAAATTAGAGAATTTCATTTGCTGTTGCAATCTTATCTTCCTTATAATAATGTAGAGCTATTAGTATCTTAAGATTGTTAGGACCTACCTTCATTTGCTGGCTCACACACCAGTGTCTGCAAGTGGCCTTAGATCAGAACCTTTTTAACTTCTTTCACACATTGTTTCTTGCCAGCCAGCCTTCTTTCAAATTTAAGGGCTCCACTTGATTCTTAGCTGACTTCACATAAAACAGACAGGATTAAGTTTCCATCTTACTACCTAAAGTACTTGAGTACAATGCTCTACTGAGCAAGAAAAGCACACAGTAATTATAATTACAATACTAAGACCAAGTTCCTATATCTTGGTCTTAGTCTTGCAATTATGTTTACCCAAGTCCTATGGCTTAATTTTGGTCACATTGGCATCAAAATTAAATCCCTTCCTTAAACACCATTTTAACCATATAGGAATCCCCACATCACTATATAATTTCATGACAACAGACACCAAATATGCTACCATGCAACAAAACTTTTATTAACATTTTGAACAGATTCAGTTATTACTGAACTGGTAATTTCTAAACTTAAATTGGGGCAAATGGCTAGAATGCATAGTGCCATTATTGGACACTATGAATGCAAAACTGAAGAATTAATAGCCACCCCTCAGACGGAGGACCAGGTGCAGGGTGGACTCTTTCTGGATGTTGTAATCAGAAAGAGTGCGGCCATCTTCCAGCTGCTTGCCAGCAAAGATGAGCCTCTGCTGGTCAGGAGGGATGCCTTCCTTATCTTGGATCTTGGCCTTGACATTCTCAATGGTATCACTGGGCTCCACTTCCAGGGTGATGGTCTTGCCGGTCAGGGTCTTCACGAAGATCTGCATACCACCCCTCAGACGCAGGACCAGGTGCAGGGTAGACTCTTTCTGGATGTTGTAATCAGAAAGAGTGCGGCCATCTTCCAGCTGCTTGCCAGCAAAGATGAGCCTCTGCTGGTCAGGAGGGATGCCTTCCTTATCTTGGATCTTGGCCTTGACATTCTCAATGGTATCACTGGGCTCAACCTCCAGGGTGATGGTCTTGCCGGTCAGGGTCTTCACGAAGATCTGCATACCACCCCTCAGACGCAGGACCAGGTGCAGGGTAGACTCTTTCTGGATGTTGTAATCAGAAAGAGTGCGGCCATCTTCCAGCTGCTTGCCAGCAAAGATGAGCCTCTGCTGGTCAGGAGGGATGCCTTCCTTATCTTGGATCTTGGCCTTGACATTCTCAATGGTATCACTGGGCTCAACCTCCAGGGTGATGGTCTTGCCGGTCAGGGTCTTCACGAAGATCTGCATACCACCTCTCAGACGCAGGACCAGGTGCAGGGTGGACTCTTTCTGGATGTTGTAATCAGAAAGAGTGCGGCCATCTTCCAGCTGCTTGCCAGCAAAGATGAGCCTCTGCTGGTCAGGAGGGATGCCTTCCTTATCTTGGATCTTGGCCTTGACATTCTCAATGGTATCACTGGGCTCAACCTCCAGGGTGATGGTCTTGCCGGTCAGGGTCTTCACAAAGATCTGCATACCACCCCTCAGACGCAGGACCAGGTGCAGGGTGGACTCTTTCTGGATGTTGTAATCAGAAAGAGTGCGGCCATCTTCCAGCTGCTTGCCAGCAAAGATGAGCCTCTGCTGGTCAGGGGGGATGCCTTCCTTATCCTGGATCTTGGCTTTCACATTCTCAATGGTATCACTCGGCTCCACTTCCAGAGTGATGGTCTTGCCGGTCAGGGTCTTCACGAAGATTTGCATTTTGACCTACAGAGTTCAAAAGGCAAAAGTGTATCATTTCAGGATCTTTACATTTATATCTAATCAATTCTTCAAAACTCAACAGTTTTTTCAAATGTTTTAATCTACATCTCTCACAAACCTCCAAATGTTTTAATCTACATCTCTCACAAACCTACTAGACAAATTAGTCAACCCAAAATTCCTTTAAAAAAATAAAATTTAACCCCTGCCCTGGCCGGTTCTGCTCAATGGTTAATGTTGGCCTATGCATGGAGGATTCTTGGTCAGGAGGATACACTGATCACCCCGTGCTGATGTGTGCCTCTTCATATCTTGTGCCCCCCCCCACTCTGAAAAGCAGTGGGAAAATTTTCCTCAGGTGAGCATTAATAACAACAAAAAAAAAAGATTTTGTGGCAGTGAGAAGATCTTTTTCTTTTTTAAAAGTATATTTTATTGATTTTCCACAGAGAGGAAGGAAGAAGGATAGAGAGCTAGAAACGTCATGAGAAACACTGACCAGCTGCCTCCTGCACACCCCCTGCCGGGGATGTGCCCACAACCACTGTACATGCCCTTGACCGGAATCGAACCTGGGACCTTTCAGTCCGAAGACCGATGCTCTATCCTCTGAGCCCCGAGGTTCTTGTACCTTGACCAGATTGTAATCCGAAACCCTTCAGTCCCCAAGTGGAATTCTAACCACCGGAGCAATATCTCCTTTTGACAAAAAAAAAAAAAAAAAAAAAAAAATCCTTACCCAAGGATGTTTTTTGTTGAATTTTAGAGAAAAAGTAAAGGAGGAGAGAGTAAATATTCATTCGAATCCCTAGGTTCTCACCCACCACCTTTTTTCTTGGTGTACGGGGTTCCCAATCAACAGACACCCGGCCAGGGCCAAATACTTTAGTCAAGGCTTCTTATACTGGATGAGGTATCCAAAGTGCTTTGTAATTTCACCATCCAGAGCTTTCTTCCTTAACCCCAGAATTTCCCCAAAACTTAAGCATAGCACCTGAAGTAAAATTTTACAAAACCCACAGAACCGGAAAAATAAAAATCTCCTTTAAACGGAGCTGGTAAGCGACATCTGTGCTGCGATTCGAAATGAAAGGGTTTCCAGAAGTCACCCTACCGTTTTTCCGCCTTCCCCCTCTGAAACAGACACGATGGAACCGCCATCGGTTAAGCGTCCGTTAGCCCCTCTCCGCGCGCGCCAACCGCCCCGCCCCCTTCACGTAAACAAGGCCCACCTTCCGGAAAGGCCGGGCGACGCGCGCGCCGCCGCCGCCGCGTCAGCTCCTCCCCTCCCCCCACCAAGGCCCACCCAGCCCGAGACCGGGCCGTTTCCTCACTCAAGCTCCCTCGCTCCCGCCCGCCCGCCCGTTCGTCCTCCCTCGGCCCCCGGCCCCCGGCCCGCCAGGTCTCGAAGGCTACGGGCCAGTACCGGTTAGCGAGTGCGAAAATGCCGCAAGTGCAATCCCGTCGAGCCGCCTCAGCAACGACACAACCCCGACAATGCCCGGCGCTTCTGAGAGTTCCGGCTAGGCGGAGCTGAAATTTATGCAACGTCTGTTGATGACTTATCACTCCTACGTAACCGCCGTATCCGTGCGCCACTGAAAATAGTTCTCTCGGCCGCACCTCCCGCGACGCAGTTAGACCCTTCCACTAGGCCCCAAACTCCTCAGAATCTGCAAAAGGGACCCTAAAAATCAAGCTCCTCTCTATTCCAGGCTATTTCTCTCCTCCTTTAGGAAAAAGTAGGTAAGTCATCAGGCGGATGAATTCGAGTTGAGAGAACCGTCCTCGAAAGCTCTGGAAACTTCCTTGCGGCGCCCGCGCTGATTGGTGAGGCGGGTGAACACCAGGCCGGCGGTGATTGGTTGCAGACTCGGCGCTCCGCTGTTGCTGGGCTCCGGGCAGGCAGAGCCGACGTCGCTAGGTGACTGAATGCGCGTGCGCCCCAGAGGCGCGCCTCCGCGCCAGCTGGGTGTTTCCGGTGGAGGTGGGGGAGGGGACCTCCGCTCCCGCCTCGGAATACCAAACCCCAGGCGAGGGCCCTTGACTGCGCTGTGAAAAGCCAATATATTAAAGCAATGAAAGCATGCAGCTTTATTGAAAAAGCAAATCAAGCGAGCCTGTACATCCGGCTTATGAGGCACAGACGGGGTCTGAGTTGTTATGGACCCCCTGCCTGTAGGTCTCAGAGCTCCTCTGCTGGGTATTTTGTACAGATTAATTCTCAAGGTCTCTATTTACTTTATTGTGGCCCTCCTAGAATTCATGGGAAGCACTTGGCCTTGAGACTGCTGGCTTAGGGGTAAAACTGCCCTTTTTCCTCCTTCCCCTCCCCCCTCCCTCTGCATTCGGTCGTCAGGGCTAGTTTGTTTTAATCATTCCTCTAGTGCTGGGGAGAACAATGGCTCCAGATTGCCCACACGGTTTGGCCTTGTTTCCGTGAGCCTCCTGCCCTGGAATCTCGGCAGGCTCTGTCTGCTCCTTCCTCATAAGCGTTGGGACCGCGCCTGTGGGTCAGACCCTCAGAGGGCGCCCCAGCGGGACCCGGCCTTCGGGACCCGGCCTTCAGGCCCCGGGCTGCGTGGCTCCCGCAGGAGCTGCCAGTCCCCGCCCCTCCTTGCTGTTGCTGTGACTCTGGGGGGGAAGAAAGGCAGGTTAGGGGCCGGAAGCCCTCCTCAAGAGACTGGGAATTCACGTACAAGAAATAACGAATATGTCTACCATTAAAGTGCTTGTGCCAGTGACACTAACGGTGGCTAAGCCGGCGGGGGCCGGTGTGTTCCCCCGGCGTGGCCACCGGTCCGAGAGGCGAGGCCCGGCCGCGAGGGGCGGCTGCTGGGCTCCGAGGCCGGTGCTGAGCCCGGAGCTGGGGCTGCAGACACACGGCGGACGGCCTCGCTACACCGGCCTTCCTGGTAAGACTCCTTTACAGATTTGCATCAATGCCATTAGCTGGATGTCACTTAGAAACGGTGGTTAAATCACAGCATTTCTAAGCACAACATTAAGAAACGATGTCAATACAGACAGGTATATGAGCTAACACCTAGAGAGCTTTACATTACATTTACTAAATCTTGGTAAGGTCTACTTATTTTAATAATCAGGAGACAGAAATAACATTTCTTTAAGATAATTTTGCGCTAGGAGGTAGTTGGTAACATGTTTATTGTACAAAGTATGAATTTTCATTTTTGTAAATCCAGCAGTGAGTCAGCTCGTTTCGCCAACTCGCAGCTTCTCCTGAGTCATACTTGTTGATTCTAGAATGTTCTAGATTGGAGATTCATGATTGGTAATGATGACATTGCTGGGAGTTCTAGCAGTTGCCAGAAGTTAGTCATACAGTTTCCTGGTTTAATATTTTGCCAAAGTGGGTCATTTCGTAACCTCAACAAAACAAAAATGTTTTCAGAAGGAAGGCATCTGCTGTCCAAGAACAATTTTTTGTATGTTTAAAAAATGAAGCTTTTAGTAATATTATTTCTGATGGTAAATTGTGAAGGTAATTTGTTAACAAATTAAAGACTAGAACACAAAGATCAGGAATTTGGTAATCTTGCACAATATTTGGCAATGTGCTCAAATGTTTGTTCAGGGAAGTGCAATTTCCCTTTTATTCAAATGGAAAAAGAAACACAACTTTATGACAGCCTTAGGCCCTAAAGAACAAAGCAAAAAGACAGTACTTAATCTCAATTGGCAAACAGTTTTTGCCTAGGCAGTTCCTTAGAAAGGAACAAAGGAGTCGATTCTGAGATTCTGAATGATTTTACTTGACTAGATGTTTTTTAATAAAAATCTGAGAAAAATGTGGTTCTAGTTAAAATTCCCAATTGTTGTCTTTACATTATCAGTTGATATTTAATATATGGAGTTAGTTTGTGGTTGGTCATTTCCTCATTTGTCTGTTTCTCTCAACAGAATTATGATATTAACTCCTAATTTATTACCAGTGAATTAGAAACTTTAATTTTGAATGCCCAAAATGAACACAGAGCAAAATTCTGCATCATCATTACACTGGGCCTCAAAATTATAGAAATCTGTCCAATTAAAGTAGCTACTTAAAAATGTTTTATTATGAACTATTACAAACATATGTACCGTATTTTTCGGACCATAAGACGCTCCGGACCATAAGACGCACCAGTTTTTAGAGAAGGGAAATGAAGAAAAAAAGATTCTGAAACAAATAGTGTCTTAAATATTTTATGTGCATTAAAACCCAACATCACAGTCATAAACACATGTAAAAAACCCTGAAAAGTAAACAGCAGCATTTAGAACCATTTTAGAGCCGGGCAAGCACACAGAGACCACACAGAGCCGGGCAAGTAAAAAAACTTTTTTTTTAAAGTATATGTGTAGGCTATATTTGGACCATAAGACGCAGGGACTTTTTCCCCCCACTTCTGGGGGGAAAAAAGTGTGTCTTATGGTCCGAAAAATACGGTAAATGAAAGTTGGATGTTGTGGGGTCGAACCCTGGGTTCAAAAATAAGACCACCGGAGGCTGATTAATTAATTTTAAAAAAGCAGGCAAGGATTTATTGACTGGCCAGGACAGCCACAAGAGCACCACATGCAGGTGGACTCCAAATGACTGCACCGTTTCAGGGGTAGGCAGTCCCTTTTAAAGATTCAAACCACAGGAATTTTCCTTTGTTCTAATAAAATCCTAAAGACTAAATTCTCAAGACTGGGGACAGCCCGCAGGGTCGGTTCCCAGTCACATCCTGCTAGACTTTGGAATGTGGCCCTACCTTGTCCATAATACAAAAGCAGTCAATCTCCTGTAACTACCCTATTGTTTAAGCAAGTAATCGAAGGTCAAGTCAGATAGCAAGGTTAAAATTCAAACAGCAGTTTTTACCAAAGTATGGTCGCCACTGTATTTCATTGGAGATATAACAAACACCTTAAAATCACAACCCAACTTTATTAAGGCTTAATATTTTGCTGTTTTGCTTCAGCCTAAACATTTTTTAGTGTATTAAAAAATACAATATAAAACTTAATTGTTTTTAAAATATATATATTTTATTGATTTTTTACAGAGGAAGAGAGAGGGATAGAGTTAGAAACAGCTGCCTCTTGCACACCCCCTACTGGAGATGTGCCCGAAACCAAGGTACATGCCGTTACCTGGAATCGAACCCAGGACCTTTCAGTCCGCAGACTGAGGCTCTACCACTGAGCCAAACCGGTTTCGGCCATCTTACCAGTTTTAAGTGTACAGTTCAGTATGTGTTAGCTATAGTCACATTGCTGATCCCTGGAACTTTTTTATCTTGTAAAACTAAGACTCTATATCATTAAACCATAACTCCCCATTTACCCCTCCCCCCAGCCTCTGATAATCACCATTCTACTTTCTATTTTTTCTGATTTTAAGTACTTTAAATACTTTGTATAAGTGAAATCATGCAGTATTATTTTTTCCTGTGGTTGGCTTATTTCACTTAGCCTAGTATTTTCAAGGTTCATTCATACATTTGACAAAATTCCCTTCGCCGGGACCGGTTTGGCTCAATGGATAGAGCGTCGGCTTGGGGACTGAAGGGTCCCGGGTTCGATTCCGGTCAAGGGCATGTACCTTGGTTGCGGGCATATCCCCAGTAGGGGGTGTGCAAGAGGCAGCTGATCGATGACTCTCTCTCATCGATGTTTCTAACTCTCTATCTCTCTCCCTTCCTCTCTGTACAAAATCAATAAAATATATTTTTTTAAAAATTCCCTTCTTTTTAAGGACTAATATTGCGTGTGTGTGTGTGTGTGTGTGTGTGTGTGTGTGTGTGTTATCTATTCATCTGTCTATGGATATTTAGGTTGTTTCCACCTCTTGGCTATTGTGAATAATGTTGCAATGAACATGGGTGTGAAATATCTCTTTAAGATGTTGCTTTCCATTCTTTTGGATATAAACTCAGAAGTGGGATTAATTGTATTTTTAGTCTTTTAGGAGCCTCCATTCTGTTTTACATAGCAAACAGCAATCACAAAGTGTTTCAGTTCTCCACATCGCCACCAACATTTGTTATTTCTGTTTTTTTAAACATTAAATTTTTAAAATTTACTTTAGAGAGAGAGAGAGAGAAGAAAGGGGGCAGAGAGAGTGAGAGGAACATCAAGGTGTTGTTCCACTTATTTATGCATTCATTGGTTGAGTCTTGTGTGTGGCCTGACCTTGGCATATTGGGATGGCATTCTAACCAATTGAGCTACCTGGCCAGTGTCTACTTTCTGATTTTTATTGTTTATACAGTGGCAGTCTTACTAGTGTGGAGCAAGCATGCCAAACTCGAGGCTGGTGGGCTGCATTCCTCATTTTAGGCTCTAAAACGCTCTCGTTTTAGTCATGCAGCCTGCTTGCCGTGTGTTTAACATGCTTGGTGTGGGGTGTTATTTTGATTTGTTTTATCATAATGATTTATTTTTTTATTTTTAAGCGATTATAGACCCATAGGAATCAGAAACAGTACAGTGAAGTCTCATTGTACCCTTGACCCAGTTTCCCACAATGGTAACATCTTATATAGCTGTAGTAAAACATCAAAACCAGAAAATTAGCATTGGTT